TCTTTTAATTCAAACAAAATTACTTAACATCCATGATTCGAAAGACATTTAATGAACAGCAAAAACATTTATTTATATGATTACAATTTGTATTTTTTTAGTAATCTATGCCATCCTCACACCTTTCAAGTTTCCTGTGTAGCTTACATAGTGAGTTTCTGTACTTAGCACCACATCTGATGGAGTTTACCAAATATTTCCAATGCTTTCCACCCACCTAGGCCTGAAGAAACAGATAGTTTCATACATGCTGATTACAAGTGTTCATCCCCTTCTTCAGAGAGTCCGATATCTCAGCACCCACACGAGGGTGACCCCCTCACAAGAGGTTGCAAACTCAAATGCTCCCTGGAGACTTAGTCCCACTCTTCATGTGGGAATGCAGGCCCCGAGACTGTGCCCCGAGACTCCAGCTTTTTCAATGAAACTAGAATGCCAGAGTTTTACGTAATTTTTAAATTTTTAAATTTTGGAAACTTTGGATGTAAAGAAAAAATCAAGTTATGTGTCTGAGCCAAACAAAACAGGTTTTCTGCCCAGATGTGTCTCTTGCCTATAATTTTCAGCCTCTGCCTTCAGGACCATCGAGGGCTGATGTTTAGGCTACCCCTAGGAGACACCTGCTTGAACAGGTCCTGAGGACTGTGATGAAGAAATTCCAGAAGAGGAAAGTTGCTCGGTGCTTCTGATGTACTTCATATCATTGTAGATATCTTGGCAAGATAAGCAGTATGTGATCTTAATCATGAATTTTCCTTACTTGACACTTTCTCATTATTTGGATATGGCCACCAGCTTCCAAGAACATAAGAGTTTGCACTGTCTATTGTAAAACACTTTTTCACTCTCTCGGGAGCCATCCAGGGTCATGTCTTTTTCTTTGTGGTCATTAAAACCTGGCCCTCAAGAAAACCCATACCAGTGTTCTGGGTTAGGCTAGAATATCTCCAGTGGGGATTGTGAATCTTCTGGAAGACAGGGGTACTCATCAACTAAGACACGACACAAATACGAAATGGAGTTAATGTATTTACATTTTTCAGTATGAGGAAAGGGATCTTCTGTTAAAGGTGTGCTTAATCATTTCATATCTTTCCTAATTTAAAAAAAAGGAAGACATGAGTGGATTTTCTTTTAGGAATGGGTTTGCTCTGGGTCTGTGTGGCTTCAAAGTTTAAATTTCTGCTACTCTGGCCAGGTACAAAATGTGTACCTTTAATAAGTTCTAGAAGCACTGCCCCCAATTCAAAACATTCTGGACTACAGAGCTGTCCCACATGAATAGAAAGTAAGTATAAAGCCACCTTTACTTGGATTAACCAATGAAAAAAATACTTATGAGAAGTTTTGCACTTTCTAAGAGGAATAGCTAAGAAGCAAATGTCTCCATCTGGAAAAGGTTCAACAGGAGATGGGGATAGGGATCTGGAAGGGTGGGAGTCAACTAAGCAGGCACCACTCAGAATCCCCAGGCCAGCTGGCAGAACACCAAGAGAACTAATGTATATACACAGGGGAGATTTCATGGAATATGACACCATGAAAGTTACAGTCTCAGCAGCTTGATGGTTTTCATCAGTATTACGGGAGATTTGCTCCTTTTTTATTTGGTTTCTTTAAAAGATGAATGGAATAAGCGCTTTCCGAGATTTGGGGTAGTCCTCAAACATTTTGAGGTAGAACCTGAAAAAGACAAGAAAGGCATAATTACAAAGTTAACCCCAACAAAGTGGCAATGGGCCCAGGAAAATATCTCTTCATGGGGCCTGGGAACGCCAAGAAAATATGACCTTGTATTATGGGTTGAATTTCATCCTCCAAAAAGATATGTGAAGTCCTAATCCCCAGTACCTGAGAATGTGGGCTTTCTGGAACTAGGATCATTGCAAATATAAGTGATTAAGATGAGGTTATACTGGAGCAGGGTGAGCCCTTAATCCGAAATGACTGTGTCTTAAAAGGAAACGACACAAAGAGACAGAGACACACAGGAGAGGAGACCATGTGAAGACAGAGGCAGAGAGTACAGTAACACAGTTGTCAGCCACGGAACACCAAGGATCGCCAGCGGCCACCAGCAGCTAGAAAGAGGTGAGGAAGAATTCTTCCCCAGAGCTGTCACAGAGAGCATGGCCCTGCATGACCCTGCCTACACCTTGATTTCAAACTTCTGGCCTCCAGGGCTATGGCAGAGTAAATTTGTGTTGTTCTAAGCCACCCAGTGTGTGGCAATTTGTTACAACATCCAAGGAGACTCATGCTTGTTGTAAGAAGCCTTTCCCCTTAACTTACCAGGCTGTCCTCTTAACTAGTTGAAGCTGGGGAGCCCTCAAGGCGTAATCAAGATGACACACTCTGTTAAGTACCTTAGTTTGAATTGGAGACAAGTGTGTTCTGGGAGATGGCTGATTTTCGGTGCTGTGACTTGAGAAGCCTGGAGAGCTCCTCTGCGTGTGCTGCCTGGCCTGTGAACACCCCGCTGTGCTTTACGGGATCCTGCACAAAGCCCTGTTAGCCGTATTAAAAAGATGCCCTCCGGCCCTCCTCTGGGCAGTCTGACATAACGGCTTGAGGCTTAGCTTGGATTTTGTCGTTGCACCGGCTAGAGACTTCCGGTGGAATCGCTGTCCCTCCCCTGCCCAAGTCCGGTGGAGCCCATGCTTCTCAAGCACCCTTGTGCGGGGTGATGCGCCCTCCTCTCCCATCCCCCCTCTGCCTCTGGTGGGCAACGAACCCAGCCTGAAGTGGCGAGAACCGTTGTGACTGTCTTCTGGGCTAGGAACCCTCTGCTGCCCTTCCCTGCCGAGGCTAGGAGGTGGCAGGAATAGGTCATTAGGAGAGGTGCTATTTTATTCATTTCTGAGCTGGTCTCCTAAATCATGCTCAGAAGAAAAGAACCCATTCTTAGTTTAACCTTCAAAACTACACAATGAGCCATTAGCTAGACTAAAACACCAAGGCAAAAGCTTCAGGGTTCCGCCAGGGTCCTGGTTCCAAGGCCATTCCTTCTTGGAGTATCCCTACCCTTCTCGCTCTGTCTCCAGTAACCACAGCCTTTCTCTTGCCACAAAAGCAATTTTAGGGAAAAGATCTGAAATTCGCACTCAGGTTTAAAGCCTGATAACAACTGAGAATGTTACCCTTCCTCTTCTAGCAATACCTTTAGTTAATTCTTTTGTCCCTCCCCCACTCCTGGTTAGTGGGGTTAGTAATGTTTACTAGACCTTCAGAGGGAAGGACTCTAAATGCCTGCAATTCCAGGCACTTCCCAGCCAGTGGGGCCGTCCTAAAATTCCACCACATGCAAATGCTCGTCCCACCTTCCCAGGAAGCCGGCGTTGGACTTGTCTGTGGTTTATGGCGTGTAGAAGTAAGGGAGGGAGGGGGTCACCAAAATAAGCCCTGGTATTACAGATTCCAGGGAAAATAATCCTTCTGAAGTTTCCAGGGCTCTGTGATTACCTGAACCATTAGCACCAAATCTTGCACCCAAAATTAGCAGTCACATAGGCCACAGGCCAGTAGTGCTTTTCCCCGGTGGTGATCTGTCCTACTGTACCTTAGAATTATCTGTGAAGCTCTGGGAAGTGCTGGCCATGGTCCTGCCCAGGGAACACACTTCGAGAAATACGGCGGAAGGGAATTTAACTGAAGCATGGAATGGAAATTACTTATTTTGCCTCTTGACTCTTTATCTGGAACTTACGGCCAAGCGCTAACCATCAACAGGCAAGCCTGCTAGGAGAACACGGAGCCTGGGTCAACCAATTGCTGTGGATACATGGGCTTCTCCCTGGGCAGCCTTCTACGACAAGGCGGGCATGCTGATGTCCCAGCTGTCCCCTCAGGTGCTTCTGTGTGCGTGGGCTTACTTTTGGTCTCAGAAAAAGTTTTGTTACTGCTACTCTCATACAGTTAAATTCCAACTTCACTAAAAACCCAAGAAGTCAGAATATACTAATCCAATGATTATATCAGCCTTCTCTTATAAAAATAAATATGTCAGGTTTCTAAATCTGATTCCATGTGCTAAAATCCTGTTTAGAGGGAAAAAAAGCTATGTGAATGCTGCCACCTTTATTGAAAAGTTTACCTATGGTGGTGAAAAGCTCGCATCCCAAGGAAACAGAGTGAGAAAAATGCAAATGCAAGCGCTGGGAGGGACCAAGTGGCCAGGGCATAGCCCATCCATTCAACGATCTCACCAAAGAAGTTTGCTCCAGAAACGTATGTAAACAAGCCACCTGTGTGCAGAAGAATCAAAAAAATCAACAATCAGATCGGAATCATCATGACATTTGTTTTGTTCTATTAAGCAGCGTTTTCAAGCCACCTCTTTCTTACCTTCTCACTCCTTCCCTGGATAGCCAGGCAGCATATTTCACATTCACAGTCACGCAAAGTGAAATAACACAGTGCATTAAAATAATAAAAATCTGAATTGATGGGAGGAGTAATTAGATTTTCTTTGGAGATTTGCCCCTTCTTCGCCCACCTCTGCAAAGGAGTATACTGTGTTCAAGTTTAAAGTAGGGAGTAGGAGCTTCAGGTATTTGTCGTGCTGGAGGCTGGGGAGGTCTGTCTGCTTTTATTGGTTTTAAATGTTTCATTTCTATCCAACCAAGTATTTCCTCTTTCAGAATTGTAACTAGAAATCATCATATTTCTAATGATATTAAATATGTCCACACTCAAATTTTACGACCCACATTAAACTGGGGAAGTTAAACCAATACAATTTTGTTCTTTCTATAGTTATATAAAAACATTTTGTTTTTAAATCATTCTCTTTCTATTACAAATCGAAAGTTGGAAACTCAACTTGACAATCTGATTTTTAATAAACTTTCTCTGTTCTTCTTTATTTATCTAGTTATGGAGTGAACATTAAAAAAAAAAAATCAAAACCCCTTAAAGTTATCTTCCTTAAGGATGACATTACATCAGCGGTTCCTGACCTAAGATTCTCTAGACCCTGGGAGGAATTGCTGATCTAATGCAAAGGGCCTACAAATTGTCTGTGAATACAATAAATGGTACATCTCAACCTACTGTATTGTTTTTGTTTGATGTAGATACTGTTAGGATATTAACAACATTCTAATCCATTTCAAA